TTTCAATGCTTCTGCTGGGATTCCATCTGGCCCTGCTGCTTTTCCAGCTTTTAGCATCTTGATTGCCTTCAGGACTTCTGATTTCGTCGGGGGGTTGGTGTTCACTGGTAGCTCTGTCTCCGTTGTTGGTATTGTTGGGCGCGTTGTAGAATATGCTTTAAAGTTTTTAAGCCGGCGTAGAAGTCATTTAGTTTGAAAACCTAAAATCTATTATCCCTCCAATGAAAGATGTCCTCATCAAATTACCTACAATACAGTGGGGAAGTAAACAGTGGGATTTTAAGACAGAGATTAAACTCGGTCATCCGTAGGACCTATTAGGCAGCTTGGCTCGTAATCATTGAAAAAGCCAAAAATATACTCCACTGCAAACCTGAAAATTGCACATGTGATTGTATCACATTCCACAGTATTTGCCAACTTATGTATGCTGTGTGTGTGTGGACACATACATAAGGAGGAGTAAAAGCGATTAGCATATGAGTGGGACGGAAAGCGTATTCAGGAGTGGCTAGAAAGACAGATGAACTTTGTAAAATCAATAGACGCAGGTGGTAGACTGCCAACTTCGTCTATAGCCAAACATCTAGTTGTTGATATGAACCATAAGATTGATGTTAATATAGCTTTTGAGATCATCTATCGAAAGAGTCAAGGGAGCTTATTGAAATACGCTGAGGCGATAGCTATTCATAAACTTAAGCCACCCCCTCACCCACCACCCTGTTTGCTCAGAAACAATTTATTATTTTGATGTGGTTGTGTTCTCTGAGCTGGATGGGTGGTTTATTTGCGAAGCTTTCATTGCCCCATCACCACCAGGCAACATCTTCAGCGCTTACTTACTTCAACTTGAATTCAAGTGAGCTTTTAGATTTATTTCTCCACGAGTTAGTTTATTAGTCATCTCTACTGGCGAGTGGTGACCTTGGACGTTGTCCTTACTTGATTTGTGTGTGTTCTCACACCATCAAGTCTACTTGTGCTATTGATATTGAAGCTGATTGTTTCGTTGACCTGAAGTGTGACCCTTTGTGTGTGTGTGAGATTTCCTTCTTATCGATAGGCAAATTTTGTCTGGGTCGATGTGTCTATTGTGGTCGGTGGTTCACTGGAATACCAGGAGGGCTTCTAAAAATTCTCTTGCATTCTTGGTGCGTCCTCTGTTTGATATTTGAACGTTGGTTGTCCCAGTCTAACTGATGTCCGTGGTCGTCTGTATGCAGTGATATGAGCGAGTGAGTGGATGTCATGTCTTTTGACGGTTAGCTTATGTCCATGGATACGAAGACGAAGTGGAGGTCTACTATGGCCAATGTAGTGTTTATCGAAGTCGTTACAATTTATTTTGTAGATGATGTTGGTTATATCGTCTTTCGTTGTTGAGTCTTTTGGTTGACATAGAGCCAGCCGAGTGAAGTGATTTTGTTGGTTTGTGTGCGGCATCAAGTCTTGCAGTGATTTCTGAGATGTCATTTATATTTGGTAGGGCGATTTTCTTTGTGCTTTCCTTGGGGTGGGGGGGCTGGTGTACTCCTAAACTTTGCCTAGTCGCCTAGCTGTGATAGTAAGTCAGGTGAAGTGGTATAATAAGGTGAGCAATATTGAGGTTAGGAGTCGGTCGAGTGCTAGGTAAGCAGGGAGGGAAAATCAATAGATAAGGCTGTGAAGTTACATCGACTGGATTAGATAGTTAAGACGTGTGTTACGCATCCATGTCTAGCCATCGACTTCCTCGACGTCGGGGAATGTTAGCTGACATAGGGTCAGGTTGGAGAAGAGATAGTTAGTGGTGGTAAAAACCAAAACATGGCCCCATCAGTCATTGAAATCCATAACAGTTAGTTTAAGCCAGCCACGTAGGGAGGTGTAGACTTGTTAGTTGGTTGGGGTCCTTGGGAAGGTAAAGACCAATGACGGCTGGAGACAATTGGTGATATGGCTCAAAATCGTCGTTGTCAATACCGCAGATGCATCCACTCCTTGTGACTTATAATACCCAGTGAAACTATATTGTTCTTCGATATTACTATTCTTTTTCCCCCATATCTCTGTTTACTGTTTCTATTTTGCATTGCTTTTTACTTTCTTCTCTTACTTTGTGTGCTGAGTGAAGTGTGGCGACTCGAACTGCTGTACATTTCTGTGTTGAAACTAGACAGAGAGACAAGCGCTTTCATTGCCATGACAATGATTGTCAGGAGAATTCAAATAAGTTGATTTCACACTAAAAAACCCTGCTCTGAATGGATGTTGTTGTTGTTGTCTAGAAGGAGGACAACGATAGCTTCGCAATTAAATTACCAACCCCAGTTTCTCAGAGGACATATATATATATATATATATATATTGGGCATAAAATTTCACGAACATAAAATAATAATAAAAACCAACGAAGCAAAGAAAAATTTTCAAGGATTGGTTTTTGTAAAGATTTTGTTTGATTGGTTGGAGGATGTCATCATTATGAGCTGACATCAGTTAGAGAAACATTGGAAAACCACCAAAGAGTCCTGGATAGCTAGCAGTTTCTGTGGTCCTAGTTTGGGACTCACGCACCCAGGACCTTCTGGTTACAAGGCAAGCGAGTCGACTTTCCCCATTCTTGTTTAACTTCATCATAGATATGCTAATGGAAGTATCTTTAATTGAACTTAACGACTTAGAAATCGACTTGTTACCAGGGAATAATCTTATGGACTTAGAATATGCAGATGAAATTGTCCTGTTAGGGGAGGATGCTGACAAAATGCAGAGTCTTCTGAACAACTTGAGCAGCAATCTTCGTATGTTTGGCATGCGATTCGCCCCTGTAAAATGTAAGATGCTGCTACAAGACTGCATTACGTCTGCCCCTAGCTTAGTGATAGGGAGTGAAGTGATAGAACATGTTGACCACTTCACCTATTTGGGAAGTTGTATCAGCACCAACGGATTGATTGGTGACGAAATCTCAGCACGGATCCAAAAAGCTCGGGCTGCTTTCGCTAACTTACACCATCTCTGGCGTAGGCGTGACATCCGACTATCAAACAAGGGACGTGTGTGTTGCTCAGCAGTTCGCTCCGTCCTTCTCTATGGCTCTGAAACATGGCCAATATGAGTTGAAGACATGAAAAGGTTGACTATCTTTGATCGTAAATGTCTACGATCTTTTTCTCACGTTAGGTGGTATAGTAAGGTAAGTAATGTTGACGTTAGGCGTAGAGTGTTGGGCAAAGAGGGAAAGTCAATCGAAGAGGCTATAAAGTTACATCGATTGAGATGGTTAGGTCACGTGCTGCGCATGCCTCACCATCGCCTCCCCCGACGGACTGGCATTACTAGCTGATATAGGTGCAGGTTGGAAAAGAGTAAGTGGTGGCCAAACAAAAACATGGCCTCATCAATCCATGAAATCCTTGACAGTTAAACTGAGTCAGGTAGAGAGGGAGATGGAGACTTCCGGGTTGGGACCCGCCCTCGGGACTCTAAGAATCAATGGCTGGAGACAATAGGTGACATGGCCCAAAATCACTGTCAATGACTTACGCAGATGTATTCAGTCTCTGTAATCTTTCATACTCCTTTTTACCATTATTCATTCTGTTTCACTCTTGTACTTGTCAAAACTCTATTGATTCTCTTCATCACTCATTTTCTTGTCTACCTTTGTGTGCTATTTGGAACATGGCAACTCGAACTTCTGCACTTCAGTGCCACGTTCCATGTTGAATCTAGACAAACAGAGACAGGCAATCGAGGTCGTAGACCATTCATCAGCCACTCAGACACAACCCGATCCAATGACCAGCCAATCAGTTATAACTTCCACCGCGATAATTCACGACCACTAGCCAATGTCTTCTTCGATGACTTACTGCCTCACCTTCAACCTGCTCTACCCTACTGGTCATGGCTAGAACCACCACCACCACTAGAACCTCACTCTGGTAACTACCTACCTGAATCGAGCCAGTCGCTAGTGAGCATCAGATCAATTTTCAAGTATTGTTTATTTTTTTTTGCTAGGGATTTTGTTTGATTGATACTTGAATCATTTTCCCTTTGAAATGTAAAACAGGGGAAATACACAATGCGAAAATCATCATCTTCGGTACCTAGGCGTCGTTCTATCTGCTGATCTCTCCTGGTCGTCTCATATCTTGGCGATTTCTAAGAAAATATTCCGTCTTACCTTCTACATCAAGAAGTTAAAACATTCTGATATAACCCAACCCTTACTCCTACAATTCGTTAACTCTCGCATTCTGCCTATTATTCTCTATTGTTCCCCCGGGCTACTGAAGAAAGACTATTACATATTACGCAGGATGTTAAAGGTTGTCAGCAGGGTAAGCGACGTGCCACTTAACCAGCTTGTTAATATTCTGGTCGACGGGCACATGGACTCATATAAAAAATGGGCCAAGTCCATTTTATCTAACTCACACCACCCTCTTCACTCACAACTCTCCCCTTGCATCTCATCAGACAAAACCAGAAGCCTGTACACAGAAAACTATATGCTCGCACTAGCAAGTACAAAAACTCAACCATACCCTACTTAGCTCGTGTTCTGTGCCATAAAGAAAGCATTAGGCGTGACACCTATAATTCATTAAATAGTCAGTAGAACAACTGGACCTCGTCTTTCCAACTCATATCATTTATAGGTACAACATTTTCTTTCTTTCTTTCCCTATTTTCTCTCTCTCTCTTTTTCCGTTATGTGCTGCTTTGTTTCTTTCTCTCGCTTACACCAGTAAATATGACAGCACCTACTTTTCTAACACCTTCAAACACTGTTCAACTTTGTCTTTGCTACCGACATGCCAATATGTTGTTGTCATAATGAACTGAGATTTCCTTAATCTATGTAGAATTTTATTTATTGATAATGTACTAACTGGATGCAATACTGTAGTAAAAGTGCTGAGAATTCCATTGTGTATCACAAGTACTGTTTTGGAATAAAGCAAATTATTATTATTACTCTTACTTTATATAACAAATATATACGAATTTATATGTTTATATTTATTTTTGTTTATAGAGTGTTGAAAAAGACAGCAAGCTATTCGAAGGAAATGAACTTTATACAATGGATAAGGGAACAAATTATAAACTGATTGTACACTAATAAAAATAATGGTATTATTACTGTTATGATAACGAAGAGGATATTAGCAGGAATATGATGGTACCAACACCACCACGACCACCCATATTGCTACTGATAATAATAATAATAACCATAGCAGTAGTAATATAATACACATATATATTTAAACATGAAAGAAAAGAGAAAAAAGAGCTTGCTCTCTCTATGATCTTCTTCATTTAGTGACGACAGGTGAAGAAATAGGAGGTTAGAGGGCGGAGAGGGGCGAGGCTGGCGAAGGGGGGGAACAATCCTCAGAATGAAACATTAAATTATTATTAATTGATTAGCAATAGTCAAGAATAGATATACAATTCTCTAAGAATAAATAATAGTAATAATAATAACTGTTATTTATTATTATTATTACTATTTTATTACTAGTATTACGCTTATTGTTCTCTCTGTTATCACGATGTTGGTAATTGTCTTTAGTAGAAGTGGAGTGGGAGGTGTCTAGTCGACTTGACACTGACCGATTCGATTGTGATTCACCGACACCTGAACTGAAGGAGAGTAAAAACAAAACAAACAGGAATGAAGTAGGCAAAATTATAAAACTTGAAGTTAATAATAATATAATAACAATAATAATTTGCTGTAGTCGGTTTGTAAGGATTAGTTTTGTCTTGGGTTCGAACCCACCTGTGGTGGGTGCGTACTGCCGATTATTCCCAGACTAGGCTGATGAAACAGCTGTCTATCCAGTATTCCAGTGCTGGTTTTCAATGCTTCTCTAACTGATATCAATCCATGATCAACTCTAAAAGAACAAAACTGATCCTTACAAACCAGCTATAGAAAATTAATCTGATGCTCGCTAGTGACTTGCTACAGGATGGAGTTTCCTGCAGTGAGTTCTAGTGAGAAGTTGTGACCAGTGAGGTCCATATCCAGATGTCACGTGTGAGGATGGATGTCCCACCGACGAAATTGGTTGGTGTCAGTCGCGCTAAATCACGAATTTGTTGAAGTTAGAATTAATGGGCTAGTCATTGAATCGAGTCCCGGTGGCTGAATGGTATACGAGCTCGCCTTGTAACCAGAAGGTCCTGGGTTCGAACCCCGGTGGGTGCTTACTGATGAAGAGTCCCAAGCCAGGACGACGGAAACAGCTGTCCAGTACTCTCAGGTTTTCCAGCGATTCTCTAACGGATATCAAGCTCATGATAAAATCCTGTAACCAATAAATAAACACACATTTATTTTTTTATTTCATTGCTTTACGTTCCCAGTGGAATATCATACGACTTCAAGGTAGAGGTCTCAAGTTTCGGTGGTTTTAATTTTTTTGCGGAGTTGGATTGCTAGCCTCACACACACCTAACCCCCTCCGTCCCCTTTTTACCGGCTTAGCGAGGTCTAGGAGTCAGTGTACAGGCCAGGGATCGAACTCCGGACCACATTCGTAGTTGGCAACGCACAAATAAATGCACACATACACGTCTTTTTTGTTCTAAGCCAAAAAACACTAAAGTTAACTAACTAACTAACGAACTATAGAAAAGATTTAAAATTAAAATAATTCAATGAACAGAAAAATAGGATGTGTGACAATCGGAAATTACAAGTAAAACAACAACAACAACAACAGCCAACAAAAGAGAGGCATTATTAAAGGACACTTTTGAGATAAGACAAAACAAAAAGTAAGATTACTATGCTATGCTATACTATACTTAGAGTAAGAAATTTTCTTTTGTCAGCTTAGAGAAAAATGAAAAGAGAGAGAACATTAATCCTCTCCTCCTCTTCTTCTTCTGCCTTACAACCGCCCGTCGACCCCCCACCAAACAACCAGCCAACCAACCAACCAACCTTTTCTTGACAAATATGAAACAAAGTTTACACAACACATCATTATTATTATTTTTTCTTTTTGGCTGGTAAAAAAACAGGTTTGTGAGAAGAAACAGAGGGAAAGTAACAGACACTTTCACACTAGGACAAACATACATACACACACACACAAATAAATACATAAAAACAAAAACGAATATCTATCTATCTATCTATCAGAGTGGCTAACAGATTCCTTCTTCCTCCTTGTAGGCGAAGGGTTAGGGGGGCACAAGGTCAAAGTGGATGGATTAGTAGAAGTAAAAAAGAAAAAGGAAGAAAAGAAGAGTAAACAAACGTTACAATTAGAGCTGACTGAGAGCGAGGAGAGAGAGAGAGAGAGTACAGAAAAACAGAAATAAACAACAATCATTGAAGGAATGCTCTTCTGTCTCTCTCCCCCTCCCTCTTAGTGAGTCAACAAGGCTTAACTATAAACAATATAAACAACATTCGATGAAAAAAAGTAGAACCAAATTAATTACCAAAAACTGAATTTCCCAAAAATCTCCCTGTGAAAAAAAACTGCTCCTCACTGCATAGACTAGACTAGGTGAAACAGTGGGAGAAACCAGTTAAATAATTAACACTTGGGGAAAAAGAAACATATGCTGAATTCCATGAGAGAAAGCTGGAGTGAGACAGTGGCGGGGGCGGAAGCGCCAAAATAATCTTCCTCCTAATTAAAAGACAATTAAACACAAAGATGCTGAACAGAATCCTACTTAGAAGTGAATGCAGTAAATAAAAAACACAACACCGACAATATTAAACGATACAAATCGAATAGTAATGATGTCCTCTGTCTGGATTCAACATAGAACTTCGCACCGAAGTGCACCAGTTCGAGTTGCCACGTTCCAAATAGCACACAAAGGTAGACAAGAAAATGAGTGATGAAGAGAATCAATAGAGTTTTGACAAGTATAAGAGTGAAACAGAATGAGTAATGGTAGAAAGGAATATGAGACTGAAGATTACAGAGACTGAATACATCTGCATAAGCCATTGACAACGATTTTGAGCCATGTCACCTATTGTCTCCAGCCATTGATTCTTAGAGTCCCGAGGGCGGGCCCCAACCCGGAAGTCTGCATCTCCCTCCCTACCTGACTCAGTTTAACTGTCAAGGATTTCATGGATTGATGAGGCCATGTTTTTGTTTGGCCACCACTTACTCTTTTCCAACCAACCTGCACCTATATCAGCTAGTAATGCCCGTCGTGGGAGGCGATGGTTAAACATGCACAGCACGTGACCTAGCCATCTCAATCTATGTAACTTTATAGCCTCGTCGATTGATTTTCCCTCTTTGCCCAACACTCTACGCCTAACGTCAACATTACTTACCTTATTATGCCCCTTAACGTGAGAAAGAGATCGTAGACATCTATGATCAAAAACAGTCAACCTTTTCATGTCCTACTTGTGAAGAAGATGTTCTTAGGTTCCAAGTGGAATACTGCAACCTTAAACAACACATCTGCATTTCATCTAATCCCAAGATCACTCACAAACTCTAATCTCCCCTCTCCTTAAACGACTTCCTTCACGTTATCCTCGGAACTACGCCCACCCTTCAGTAGTTGTTTCCCATTCAAGGATACACTGGAACAATGGCCTAATGCACGATGTCACTCAACAATCTCTACAGCGTCGTGAGTCACGTCCAACTCCATTTTTTTAAAGCATATTTGTTCGGCAACACGTCTTTGAGTGGTTCGTTGGCTAAAGTTCCTTGTAGTTAATCTGATCTGATCTTCAGCCAGCAAAGCTTGAATTAGTTATCACAGTCACTTAGTCAAAATTGAGTTACGCGGGACCAGGCTATATCTATCTATAAGTCACATTTATTGTTTGAGGGTCTAGTAAATACTACCCAGTTGTTCAAGATGAAGCAGATAGAGAGACAGCTGTAACAGACTATTGCGCATAATTCTAATCACCTAAAGAATAAATAGAAATCACAACAAGAAGAATCCTTGCCCTTCAGTATAAACAATGTAAGCGATGAAATAAATATGACGGCATAAAATCTCTTCTTCTCGTCAAATAGATGTGTAGACTTCCTGATTGGGATCCTCGAGACGCATACAATTGGTGATATGGCTGAAAACACTCGTTCTCAATGGCTACCGCAGATGTATTCATTCACTCTGTGATTTGTCATATCTAATAAAACTTTATTGTTCTTCCATATTACTATTCTTTCTCACTCACTCACTCACACACAATTCTGTTTACTATCTCTATTTTGAATCTCTCTTCTCTTGCTTTGTGCGCTACAAGGTGGGAGTGTGGTAACTTGAACTGTTGCACATCTGAGCAAAGTGTTGTGTGGAAACCAGTCAGTCAGTCAGAGACACCACGTACATACATGTGTATAAATGATAATATTTGAAAGAACAATAATAAATGAGGATTAGGATTAACCAAAGTCCTGTTTGTGCGTCGGTGGTATAGCGGTTAAGACGCTCGCCGACCATGCACATTGTCTGGGGTTCGATCCCCGGCCGACGCACTCCTTTACCTCGCTTAGCCAGAAATAATGCTGGTAAAGAGGAAATGTTGGGCATGAGGCTGGCTAGCAACCCCATCCTGTAAAATAAACACTGCTACAGAAACCTCAAGCCACTAGCTTGAAGCCCTATGTTCTACTGGGGAACGTGAAGGAAAAAAAAAGTCCTGTTTAGGACTAGTTGTCAGCTAGTGCATGTACCTACATTCCCCAGTGAGTCAGTTGGTGGTGCTATTTCCTCTGCCATTGAGACGTGAACCCAGTACCCATAGAGTTTCAAACACCTTTTGTGCAATGGGTATCAGAAATTATTTAATTCAATTTGACTTTCCTGTTAGTCGATTGATTGGACCAGAGCGGAAGAGGCGACGACTCTCGTGGATAATGCTTTGTTTGACGTTTGAAGCTATAGGTATTGAGTTCGAGCCTCAGTGTGTGTGTGTGTGGGGGGGACACCACCATCAACTGACTCCACTAGCTGACAACTAGTCCATAAAATAGAAGGCTGAAATGCACACTGTCCAGCATTCCACTAGCACAGTCTCAGTCAACATTCCTTAAAATTACTTGAAATTCAATTCCCCAGACAGACATATCATCGAAGCATTTCTACACAAAGAGGAGTTGACATGTCACATTCCAATCAACCAACCGACGGGAAAGTTGAAAAAATTGAATCAAATAACCGATAAAGAGAGTGTTGAAGAGAAAGGTGTGATCTATTGAAGACGTTCAAGTATAATAAAAACATACACATGACTACTGTAAAACAACTAACTAACTAACTAACTCATATAATGAGAATAATAGATAGATGAGTAAGCCGAGGAAAAACACAAACAAACAAACAAAGATTGAGCATAGAGGTACAACCAAACAACCAAACAAACAAACAGACAAAAAGAAGGAAACACAGACGTGTACATCTGATCTACTCAAAAACGTACTTAACAAAGATTATTCTGAATTCGTATGCACACATTCATGTGTGTGTGTGTGTGTGCCGTAAGCATGTACATGAAAAAGGAGCAAAAAATAGACGACGTATAACGAATAAGGGCGGATTGAAGAAATAGAAGTTAGATGAGGAGGAGAAAAAAGGAGCATAAAGAAAAGTAACTGCCAGCTAAACGGACAACATATA